TGTAAACCTACAAATTATTTTGTATTACACCTTGTAAGTGTATGAATCCAGATCAAAATCTACCATATAGCCGAAGTTCGCCAGTTCGCGTCGGACGGACGGACTGACCAAATATATTTTTAATTTTCATACTCTGTCGTTATTCGTTTGTACATAAAATAAATAAATTGTGTAGTGTCCGTCTTATTTAGCTGTTATTTAAGTTCATTTCAAACTGTAAATAAGTTATTTTTGAATAAAAATATTATAAAATTATTTCTGTTGTTGTTTCTTAGGCGTACTGTACACGACGCGTCATTTGACAGGTAGCCTATAAATGACAAATGTTTGCATCTTGCTTAGAAGCGATGGAATCTATCCAAATCTATCTAAGTGTGGGAGAGTCATGCTTCAGCACGAATGGGCCGGCTCGATCGGAGTGATACCACGGCCGAGCAGAAAACCGACATGACGTTGTGTCACGCTTGCGTTTTGTATCGTCGTGTGAGTGAGGTTACCGGAGGCCCAATTACCCTCCTTGCCCAGTCTCCCCAATCCCTAAATCCTTCACAATCCTCAAATTCCCACTTCCCAAAAGGCTGGTATTGCACTTGTAACGCCTTGGTGTTCCAGGTGTCCATGGGCGACGCCGATTGCTTACCATCAGGTGATCCGTCTGCTCCAAGGAAAATAAACACACTAGGGGGCAAATGTCGTGCGACACGTGTCCTAGCGACGTCGGGTGATGTAGCGCAACGTTGCTGGACTTTGGTCGACATGTCTGGCAACATAGCGCGACACAGGTCTTCTGGCGCGTTGTCGCCACAATTATAATAATATGTCAGGCGAAGTCGGCCGGCTTCGCTTGGCATGTCGCCGATATACATAACGTGACCATTTATTTTCTGTGCCAAAGCGAGACAACTGAGGAATAGTTCTAAAAACAAAACCTCCGGAATTATAAAATAAAACAAAGTTTTGGGAGTTTTACAAGTTTATAGAAGATTGAATAACACAAATCAAAGCACTGAACACAAAACAGTTAAGTAGTGGGGTGTCTTCTAAGTCGTATTTTTGTATTTGTCGCACTCTGTCGCCCGCACAGTTGTTACATTTAAAAACGATAGATGCATAGCTAAAGCGGGACATTTTTGCTCTTGCGGGGGACAGCGGGACGTATGGTCCCGTTAGATATACAGGTGTTTCTGAAGTCGACGATCAAATGGCATCAGGTGATTGCCAAGGTTCTAAGGGTTATCGAAAAAATAAAAAAAAATCTATGTAAGTCATACAGTTTTCAAATTACAATGACTTATGTGTTATCCACGAAAAAGTACACCCAGTCTTTTGATTCTTGTTGCTTCAATTCTTCATTTTTTCGTCAGTGTTTTTGTTTACGTTGTCCTGAATAGTGCTTCAGTCAGTATTCTTCTTCTTCTTCTTCCTAGTCGTCTTCTTCATTACTGAAGGTCGTGTCTAGTCTGGTGCACGCGTCACTTGATGCACAACCCTCCTCCAAACGCCCCTGTCCTCTGCGGTCTTTATGGCTTGTGGAACTGTCAGGCCGGTTAGGGTTTTCAGTCAGTATTATTGAATCATAAATTCTGAGCTAACTGGTTTAGTTTGGAAAAGAATGTCGCTTTACTTTAAGTGACTACTCGTTGGCCTCCTATTCCATAAAAAAGGTTCCGATATATCAGAGAGCGCTGCTGCCTGGTCTCTGTCAATTTTGTATTTAAGCTAATGTATTTACTTGTTTATTAATATACTTATATTATAATATTAATATTTAGTTACCTATCATGTTATGTAGTTATGTACGTGTGTATGTATGTATGTATATTAAATAATCAACTTTACTTTTGATAGACTACTTATGTTAGGAATTTGTTTATATAATTAACTTGTCCTAGAATTAGTAATATTGTGAGTGCTCCTTTCGCCTGTGATACAGGATATTCTTCCTAGTACAGGCATTCAATTAATAAATTCCTAATTAGATCTCTGATTTTAAATTAAGATGTTTATCTGTACTATGACTAATTTCTTAATTATAATGAATAAAGATTTTTATTTATTATATATTTTATTTATTTATTTTTAAATGTGTGGCCCCTAGTCGGCTCTTACTAAACGTAAGCAGCAGGGGCGGTGCCAAATTGTAGTAACTGTACCGCAACCACAATTAAATACTGTGCGATGTGGGAGTCGTTCC